AGTTTAAGGTCACATTTGCTGTTAGCAAAGCTAGAAGTTAAATCAGGACTTCTGACTTAATAATTTCTACCAAAACATCATAATCCCCCCTACCCCCACACCATTCCAGCTCAGATCTGAAGGTACATGTGTACCCTGCCTCTTGGAAAATGAACTTCTCTTGAAGTAGTTCTTCCCAAATGTATTTAGCCACAAATACATTTTTTTTTTTGCAAAGAACACTCATTACTACCTCTTGGATCCAGTGGCTCACAAAAAGCATGGTGGGAGATGATGGGCTGTAGGCTAAATCTGGCAGCCCAGATTTCCTCTATTCTCCTTACCAACCAGAAAGGCTCTTCTGCCCATTGTTACTTAACCTGTCATGAACCTAGTGGTTTCTTTTGTTGTTTTCCCCAGCTGGAATCCTTCTCCTCCTTTTCTGCTCTCTCCTATAAATCCTCCCCAAATCTCTCATCTGAGACTACTGTAGCATTTATTTACCTGCATCAAAAAGCCAAGATCTCAACAGTAAAAAATATATTGTGTTGAGAAGCTAGAGAAATGGTGGAATTTTGCCAAATTTCTTCAAAAGTAATTTACAAGGCAAGATTATATCCCATTCAAGAATAAGAACCAAATTTATATAAATTGATCAAGATCATTAAGTGTGTGTGGAGATTTAATTTTAAGAAATAATTCCTCATGGAAATGTAAATTGGTATAGACAAAAATGGGAAAGAATATGGAGGTTTCTTAAAGACTAAATATGAAAGACTGTCATATGACTTAGATTATCCACTCCTGGGTATTTACCTAAAGAAGCTGAAGTCAACATAGATGAAAGAAACCTGCATAGCCAAGTTTATTTTGGCACTATTCACAAGTAGCTAAGCTACAGAATCAGCCTAGGTGCCCATCAGTGGATGAACTGGATTTAAAAAGTATGGTATCTAAATATAATGAAGTATATTTTCTTGAGAGAACTCACACTGGAGAGAAACCCTGTGGATGTAAGCAATGTGGGAAAGCCTTCATGCATTCCAGTAAAATTTGTCTTCATGAAAGAACTTATACTGGAGAGAAATGCTATGGATCTAAGCAATGTGCAAAAGTCTTTTAACTTCCAGTGACCTTACAAACATGAGTGAACTCACATTAGAGAGTAACTATATATAGGAAAGCAAGTTTGGAAAATTTCACTCATTTCAGTACCATCAAACCATGAATGTCCTTACACTACAGAGAAAATCTATAGATATTAACATAGTGAAGGTGCCTGTACCCATTCCATTCACCTTCACAAAAATGAAATGATTCACAGATAAAATTCTTACAGCTATAAGCCACGTTGAGATGTCTTCACTCATTCCAATTAGCAGCAAATTCTTGAAAGATACCACACTGCACTGAAATGCTATGTTTGGAAGCAGTGAGGGAAAGCCTTCACTTATCCTTTCTTTTAACATGAAAGAGCTCCATTCTGGCACACATTATAGTGTGCAGTGTATAATGAGAAGGTTGGAAGTAGCCTGAGGCAGCTGTAACAAAACTAAGCCTCCCCACCACAGTTCTATACTTCAGGACACAAGATACCAGTGGGACTTTTGGCATTCAGCCTTCATAAGTTCCTGGAACCCATAAGGAAGACACCTTTTTACTCTTTTATGGTGGAACAGAATTTGAACTCAGGGCCTCAGAGTTCCTAGGCATGCACTGTACCATTTGAGCAACTCCAACAGCCTTTTCCTGTGCTAGGTATTTTCAAGATAGGATCTCATGAACTCTTTGCCCAGCATTGCTTTGATCTTCAATCTTCCTGATCTCTGCCTCTCCATTAGCTAGGATTATAGGTGTGAACCCACCAGCACACAGCTATTATTAGCCTTGTTGACATATATGTTCTTTCAACAAGACTTCTGTACATATCCTTCACATTCTTAAGAAATTTCCAACAACTTGTATAGTAAAAAATGTTAACTTTTTTCTTCACTCAGAAGCTAAATGTAAAAATCACAACATAACCCCAGATTAGATCTAATTTTCTTTTGTTGTTCACATCTCAGCATTCACTATGAAAATGTGCAATCCAACAAATGGTGATTTTTCCTCCTGTAAAAGTTACTTTTCATGCTTATATTGTCTAACATTTATTGGGATTGTAAATTGTGCTTTTTCATGACAATGAGTTAGATATCATGGAGCCTTCTTGGCAGAGACCACCAAGACCATACTTTTGTCAATTATATTGTAAAGAATTATGCTAGTCATTAAAGAAGAAATAAATAATTAAAAAAAGAAAATATGGTATCTAAATATAATGGAGTATTATTCAGTCATAAAGAACAAAACAATGTTATTCACAGGCAAATGGATAGAACTAGAGTTCATCATATTACGTGAAATAAGTCAGATGGAGAAAGATGTGCATTGTGTGTTTTCTCTTACATGTGGAAGCCAGAAACTAATATGACCTGATACTGGTAGGACTATCAGGGAAGTTAAGGGACTGGGAAGGGAGGTAATAGAGTAGGGTGAGAAAGGATAGTTGGAAGGGTGACTACAACCAAAGCACCACATATGCATGCATGGAAATATCACCATGAAACCCTTAATACATACATTTAATATACATAAATTAAAATTTAAAACTTCACCATTTTCTAACACTGAAATCGATGTTTTGAACAGAATTACTAGAAGAAGACACTGCAAAGTTTTATGCTTCATTCTCATTTGCAAAATTGTCAAGAACCAGCTAACAAACACTGTTAGGTGAAGAAAAACTGAATAGTGTGTATGGAAAAGACAAAAATCATTACAGATTCCATAAGGACCACTTATACTATAAATTAATTTTACAGATTCCTATTATGGAAATTTTTTTCTATACAGTATAAACAAATTAGTCTCATTTATTATTTTTTTTAAAGTACCATTTCTGTGGATTACTATTTAAAGAAAATGTTTTTCTTTCTAATGGGGAAACAATGCTTCCTCATAAGAATGCCCAATTCCATTCCTAACTGGAGTTCAAAAGTGTATTGAAGTCTACGGTTCGACACATATACACATGTGAATGGGAATAAAAATAAGCACAGCCACTGTGGACAATGTTTTAATACACATTTCCATCATGGTGTTGTGGGTTATAGGAGGAGGCATGAGAAAAAAGTCTAAGGTAATTTTATCTTTCTACTTCTGACTTGGAAATGGACACCCCAGGGCCTCCCCGCCAACTCCCCTGACCACATTTGTGATCTCAGAGCCATCCATTCACAGAGGGCAAGAGAAACAGGAAGAGCAATGTTCTGCCTGGCTTTCCACTATGGCTGGGAATAATCTTAGATTGTGTGGACTTCACATGTCTGAGACTGTCATGACTGGCTGCTCTTTCTTGCTCAGTTCAGCTTAGCCACTTGCTTGTTTGCTCTAGCAATTCCTTACTAATGTTTTTTAAATCTCTTCACTTGACACCTTTTCACTTTCAATCCTTATCTTGATTTAACCTCTTGCTAGTCTAACCCATTATATCTGGAGCTTCCTTTGCTCAGTTGAGCCCTGGAGAGTCTATGGAGGTGACAGAAGATTCAGCACCAACCTGCATCTCCAACCTTATTTCCTGTTTGAGCCTCTGACTGCAGGCAAAGTGGTCTACTCGTGGAGCCTTGAATGAACTGTTGCATGCACACCCGCAATTTTGTTCTCCAAAAGTCCTGTCTGTTCTGCAAGACCCAGTTCAAAGTTCTTTGAGGAAGTCTCTAACTTCTTAGCCTGTGATAATGGCCTGAGCCTCTGAACTAGCACACTACTCTCACTGCCTTCTCCAAAGACCACCGTGGGTCCCACAAAACATCAATCCCAGAGGATGTCTCAGAGGCGAAAATACTTTTGGAGATTGACAGTATGCTATATTAGCATATTTAAGACTTTCCAAAGTTTTACAGCAAAGAAACCTTTCAAATAACATTGAACCTATGTTTCTCAAATTTATTTAGTAACAGACCCTTTTTTCCATGTTGTGTCATTTAATAATAATCCAGAAGGGCAGATGTAAGGAAAATGAGTCTGCGTGTATTCTATTTTCTTCAAGTGATTTCAATGGTAATAGCTCAGCAGTTAGAACTAGCTATGATCTTTCTAAACTCCTATTGCTAAGTGGGAGGTAATGCACAGAAAGCTCACAGCACGGTGCCCAGCCCACCGTAATTATAAAAGCTGCTGGCTACTTTCATTTTGAGGCAGTAGGACAGGGTGAATATGAGTTTAGTCTGTGGAATCAGACCGATCCCATTCCAATTCTGGTGCAGCTCTCACTACATAGGATGTGAGGTCGAGAGCTGTATCTGTTTTGATCACCAATGCCTAGTACACATGTAGTGCTTGGCACAGACCACGTAGTCAATAACTATTTGTTGAGTAGATTAAGGACAAAGCAGTTCTGAACCCAAGTGATTTTGCTCACCAGGGGATATTTGGCAGTGTCTGAAGATAGTTTTGGCTGCCATACTAGCATCTATTGGGTAAAAGCAGAGGATGCTATTAAATATCCTACAATGTACAGGAAAGAATTATCTAATTGTAAACATCAGTGGTGCCAAGGGTGAGAAATCCTGCTCTTGAATCAGGCTAATCAGGGATGAATTCCTAACTACTGACACTGGCTGTTCAGCCTTAAGCAAGCTGTGGGATTTCTCTAAGTTTTAACTTCTTTTCTGAAAGTTGGGGTTCTGTCTTGTACGGTTGTTGTGTATACATGTATTTATACACATATGAGACAAACTGGGCAATCCATAGGAAGTATGTGGCACAGTGACAGGTACAGAGGAAGTGTGGCCTATGAACATTCTCACCACCAACCTCCATGCACAGTCTCTACTGTTGATGATGCCCTTTACATGGAGTCTCTACCTTCTCAGAACTCATTACATCAGTTCTAGGGGCAGGGGAGGACTCTCACACAAACAGTCCTGGATTCCCACTGTGTTTCCTAGATTGTCAGACTTTATTTATGTGCTCACCAGAGGCTCCATAGTGAAAATGTTACTCAGGTAGAGCATGCAGTCTTCCTGAACCAGCCTCCTCTGGTTCTCAAAGGTGCGGGAGAGAATGGAAAGACGTTCTCGGAGTGAAGGATCAATGATGCACTCTTCAAGAAATGCATCAGTTTCATACTTTTCCTCTTTGGTTAGCTCATCGCAGACCCTAAAGAAAATACAGGAAATGTGAGCTTCATTTTGGTACCTCCATGAAGAACTTTGTACAGGCGCTCCCCTTCAGTCCATCCTTGCCTTGCCTATGACCTTAGGGTGGTCCCTTCTTGCCCTGAGTCTAAAACATACTAGCTGGGTGACCTTGTACTCAGTCCTCAGACCTTTCAGAGGCCCAGTTTGCTCATCTTGATTCACCTCCTTCCAGAAGTTCTCCTGGGATTCCTTTCCTTTAAAAGGTCTGTTTACTCACTCCTGGATCCTTATGTATCTGGACAAATATTTTCTTTTAGGTAACTATTTTCCAGGCTACCTTTAAAATATTTAACAGCTCCTCTGCCTCTCACGCTGCAAGGATGATTTTGTTCCTGCTTAGCTCTAATTCTTTCTTAGCTGTTATTTACTTAGGGAATAGAATTTGGAGCCTGCAAGGACCAGGTTTAGATACTGATTTTACGATCTACTTACTAGCTCTGTGACTATGGGAGTTACCCAATTCCTCTAAGCCTCAGTGCCTGCCACTATAAAATAGAGATAATAGGAGTGGAGCGACTCCATCAAAGGGATGAGGGTTAAATGTGATTCCTGGGACAAAGCAGGCACTTCCTGTGTCAACAAGCAGTTGACTCGCTGTGTCAACTGTAGGCTATTACTAAACTGCCAAGCTTTAAAATGCTCAAGCTAAACCTAAAGATGCCTCTTTCTCTCTCTTTTTCTAGCTCTTACTATTTACAGATCAGTCAGAATAGCAGCTTTCCCCAACTCTCCACTTATCAAACCCTCACCAGAGCTGTGTTTACCTTTCACCTGAACCCTGTGGACTGGATTGTATCTCTTCCCAGGACCTATGACCACATTTCCTGTGCTGTACTGCTGGTACTGGTGGTGAGAGATATATTTAGCAAGTGAGTGCTGAGTGGGAGCCTAGGGTCACCAAATTTCAGTTTCAGCCCCTACTCTTTCTGAATGACTTCATGCTAACCACAGTCTCAGTTTTGTCAAATAGCTCTTTTATAATCATTTCAGCATTCAGAGTCCTTTGGTCACATCACATAAAGAAGTCAAAGAAATGGATTCAGTGTGCCATGGTTCCAAGGAAGAAAGCATTCTTGGCTTTCTTTCTCTTGCTAGGTGGGAAACAGTGTCCAAGGTAACCAACAGCTATCCTTCTGTACTGCTGGGCAGAGCAGGGCACATTAAAGGCAGCTCAGGAAGAAAGGAATCCAGTTCTTTTTATGTTGTTATTTGACACCTATCTGAAAGGCTTACAGATTCATACCTTTTGAAACAGTCAATTCTACTTGCAAGAATAAATCCTGAAGAAATAATTATGAATATAAACAAAGACACAGCTACCATGATGTTCACTAAAGTGTAGGTATAATTCTAAATAAAGTGGGTAAGTTTGATGTAAGATATTGGAAGTTTGGTTAAGCAAATAATTGGCATCCTAAACCTTAGAGTTGCTGGGTACTTGTCAAATCCTTCACATGTTACCATGTAATTTAATACTCATTATCATGAGTGAGGTAGCTATGATGATCATTATTCCCATTTTATAAATGATGAAACTGGGGCTCAGAAAGGTCATGGGTCCAGCTGAAAGATGGAGCCTGAAATTCAAACTGGGTTTTTTTTCGTAGTTTGAATCCCCTAGGGTTATGTTAGCCAACCAGCTACACTGCCTCCTATTATGCAGTTGTAGCAACAGAATAATAAGCAGCTGTTAAAATGGTATAAAAAAGACCAATTAACAGCATTTTCAAATGTCAGAGAAATATTTAAAAGGTGAAAAAGCATGTTACAAAATGTAATGTACAGAGAAATACCAATTTTGTAATAAAAAACTAAAAGAAAAGGAAAAAATCATACCCATTGTGAAAATGGACAAACTTAAAGACACCAAAATATCCATAGTGTTTTTCTCTAGGTTGTAAGATTACAACTGGTTTTCACCTTCATCTTTGTGCTAATCTTTGTTTTCTAAATTTTATTAGCTCACAATATATTTATTTCTAAAATAGAAAACAAGTTATTTTAAAAATTATTAGTCAACTCTCATATTGAAGCACTATAAACTTTTCCACCATTGCCTAATATGCAAACTTTATTGGCATGAACCAAGATTTTGGCTGGATGAGGCATGGAAAAGTATGGGGGTTTGCAACAAAATGCTCTGCAGCAGCCAGAGCAACAGGTTAGATACACACACAGCACAGCATGGACCTTAGAACATAAAGCCTAGTGAAAAAGGAGAAAACTGAATGCAAAACACGACATCTATCGGCCTACTTACCCATCTTCCAAAGCAATATACACTTTATAAGAACACAGTCACATAAAATGACATACATTAACATATGAGAATGGTGCCTTTCCTGGAGCTAATAGGAATTGGGTATGGAATATAAGAGATTAAATAAAATGCTTCATGTGGAATAAGGATGACAATGCCCCATGAATGCTAGAGTATGATTAATTCAGTCCTCCCATCTGAAAACACAAGAACATGAAACAAAAAATCCCAAATGCTGCTCTTCTCCCATGCTGTTGAGACTGTGTCAGTGACAAACAGTATAAGGCAAGAGGAGGGCGAGGGATACCAGTTGTCTTACTTTTTGCCCTTTGATGAAGAATTGGAGCTGTGGCTGAGTGTTTTAGGAGGGGAAATGCAACAACTCCTACTTGAGTCCAAGTAGGACTGCCATATATCTCAGTCTATGCCTTTGCCATCTTGTCCTGCTGACAGTCATGGCTTCCTACACTCAGGACCTCAGAGGTGGTCTGTTTTGCAGATGAGGAGACTTCTCATCAGAGAGAGAGAGAGAGAGAGAGAGAGAGAGAGAGAAACAACAGCAAAAAAGACCAGCCTTTCAGTAGAACTATGAACATTTTCCAAATGGTCTGGTGGCCACCAACACCCAACACTTCAGGCATCAACTACAGGCTAGCCCATGGACTCCAGCCAATGGAGAATGAATGTCTCAGATGCAGTAGGATTGAACAAGTAATGCTCCCTCTCTTGACGTGCCTGAAACCTGAACCTGCTCCCTTGCAGGACCCACAAGAGGTGGTAGTACAGGTGGAGGAGATTAAAAACCTAGTTCCATGACCTTCAGAGCTGGGAGATATACTGTATTTGGTGTGGAATATTCAAATAGACCAGGTGACCCTGGACAATGAACAACTCTGTGATGATTGTTACAAACTGAGGACTAGAAGTCTTCTTCCTATTTACCAGGTACCACTTAAGTCTTTAGAATTTTTTTATGACCCTGAGGAAGGCTAGGAGCCTCCAAATGCATCTGAGATTAAATTTATTACAACCCAGGTGGCAGACTCAAGATCCAATTAAAACTGATTTAGCTAGAGAAGCATGCCATTTCCTACACCTAACTGCCGTGGAATAAATCTATGCTAATCACTTGGTGGGGGGATCCATTGAGGATTCTGGGAGATCTTATACAGGGCAAATCTAGAATTAGAACCACCTGCTCTTGAGACAATGGCTATGATCGTGCTGGAGAAATGGGGAGCAGAAATCCTTACAAGCCCATGCCAAATCTGTGAATACAGTAAACGTGATGGGAATAAGTATGAAAGATTCTTACAGAGTGTTTTACAAAGTGGAGGAAGAAAGGAAGGATGAATTCAGCCTCCATTTCTGAAGAGATTAATTTCTTTGCCAGTTCCAGAAAACATCAAGAAAGAGAACAAAAAGGTAATTTTTAAAAGGTCTCTTCTGATCCAAAGTTTTAAAAAGTACGAATAAAAATAATTTTAAAGACGAGAACTTCTTCCTAGAGGAGAGATATCTTCATTGGTAGTGTCTGGGGTCTGGAAATAACCCTACATTCGCAAACCTAGATGTGTCCTAAGGTTTGTACCAACACAAAAAGATAGAAGGAGAGGAAGGTCATTCTACCTAGAATGGAAATGTATACTGCTAGGAAGTAAGAGGGACTGCTGGAGCAGCAACTCCATTGGGAGGCATCTTCTTTGCCCATCAAGAGCCTAGTGAACAAGGAACCATGACGACCGCAGCAGTAGTTGAGGGCTTGTGTGAAGGTGATTAGTGTTATCCATGTGACCTTTGAGTAAGCTTTGTTACTTGCAACCCAGGTGGCAGACTCAAAATCCTCAGAGACAGGAAGTCACATTATAACTGGAGAGCAGCGGGAAGACTTGTGATTCTCACCTAAGAGTTTATACTACAGTTGAATTTTAGGTTCTTGTGGTTCTAAAAAGGAAAATTTCAGTCTCTGGATGTATGTATTACCCCACTTAGAACAGGTTCTAAGATCAGGACCAAGATCCATCTTTCTTTACATTTTTAACTCTCTGTAGAGGCTGCTGAAGGAATCAGAGAAAAGGAAGACCAGCTCACTGTCAGGAGCAGGTGAGTCACAAATACAAAGGACCATGCCAGGAAAGGCTGCATAGGCCTTGCCAGGGAGCTTGAGAGAAGATTTAGATTTTGTCGCTACTTTTCAGGGACAGAGAGACCACTGTATAAGCAAGCCATCACAGAACATTCTGCTGATTTGTGGTCTGGGACAACCTGAGAATTTGTGACATGGAAGATGCGGAGGCTGACACCCACTGCAGAGCATCACCGTTTGCAGAGAAGAAGCTATGCAGATGGGAACTCAGTGTTCAGTAAGGTACAAACAGCTCTGAACTTACCTTGCTTTTAAAGACAATGGACATTTCAGGGCAGTTACATCATGGACCAAGAATCCCTGGTTAATAATATGAAAGTTGAGGCTTACTAGGGATGTGTCAAGGAATAGAAGAGGGAAGAGCCTACTCTCAGTCAAAAAGGAGATTAGTCATAAATGGCTTCAATTACCACTGTTGTCCTAGGCATCTGGCTTAGGAGAGGGGAAGAAAGGAAGAGCAGGACATTCAGGAGATTCTTAGATAAAACAATCCAGTTCCAGGAAACATGAGTTATGTTGCTATATGTCACCCAAAGTGAACACAAAGGTATTCTGTTTGTTTGTTTATTTACTTTTGGCAGTACTGGAGTTTGAACTCAGGGCTTCACATTTGCTATTAGGCACTCTACCACTTTGAGCCACTCTGACAACTAAAGCAAAGGCATTTTTATTTAGTAATCTAAAACCACTTTTCAAGTTGGTTGTTTAAAAGAGAAGCATGACCTTAGATGATAGCATTAGGCTTTCAATCATGGTTATGAATATGCTACACTATATTGTTTACTGTAACAAAAAAAATTGTTAGAAGAAATATAGAAAGAGCAAGAGAGATAATAAAGAACAAGAACACAAGAGAGAAAGAAGAATAAGAGTGTGAGTGTCAGGTGAAGTGGAGTAGGAGAAAATATGCCCAGCCACATGTGGCTGAAATTATACTTCTTTATATCATCTAGTATCTCTGGTAACAATTGATTTTCATTTTTCTTGAGTTTAACTGTTGAAATTAACTTCCTTAAGTACTTCTTGGACATTGGCATGGCACCAAACACACAGACACAGTCAAAATTAAAGCCACTTTCCCTCTTAGAATGTGCACTTGATTTCCACAAAAGGTTATGTCCATAGGACAGCAGGATATTGAAACACTACTTTTACTGCTGTTTCATTCCTTGATTTGTACCCAGTCTCTCACTTTATCTTTAAATACACCGGGGCTGTTCTGACATCTGGTCAGCAACCATCGGCTGTGGAATCAGGACAAATGAAGCAGGGGATGAGCCGTTTCCTCCTGAGTTTTAAGCCACTGACATTTCTAAACCATGAGGCCAAATGAAGTTTTGAGGCAGGAAAGGTTTTTCTTTTCTCATTTTTTAAAGATGGCACAGTGGTGATCCTGTGATTAAAATTCATTGTCTGAATGACAAAGCTTCTTGCCCACAGCATCCTGTCATTGTCATAGCTCCTTCTGATTCAATTAGGGACAGCACACTGGGGGGTTTCTGCCTAGTTTCCATGGACAAGAGACTTTTATTTTTATCCCATACTAACTTGGTTTTAAACAAAGCTTTGAAGCTTCCTAGGGCTAATCTTTAATGGAAATGGAGAAGCAAATAGAAAAAGCCTAAGAAAAATTTGGATAAGAGCAGCAAAAGTGTTAATTCAGGGAGGTTGGAAGGAGACAAAAATGAAATTGTACTTTAAAAGAAATAAGAATGGATTCAGCAGAGAGAAGTATTCAAAACTTAATAGTGATGAGATTAGTTAAAAACATTTGGTTTTACATTTTTATTAATTTTCTCCACTGTCTGAAGTAGCATTTTAAAAAGCAGAATATTAAAAATACCAATAAGAAATTGTTGTTAAATTATATGGTTTGCAGAAATTGAGAAATGCTGCTAAAAGCAAGAATGTAAAAGCTGTTACATCTAAGTAAGACCTTCTTTTCCTCATTATGCCTATTTTCTGGAAATATCTTTTTATTGAAAAAATTACATTGGTGCCAGCACAAAATAGATTATTTTTAGAAACTCTTTATGAAAGCTGATCAACCTGGTTAGTTATTGAAAGGAATACAGACATGTAGATTAGTTTTGGAAAAATAGTGAAGAGTGACGTATTTGGTCTTTAAAATCTAGGAGTTCTATTACTGCTGAATTATAATCAGGTTAAATTAACTGAAAATGGACAACATCCTGTTCCATATAGCTCAGCTCAGAGTCTTTAAATGTGCAGCTCTAAAAAAGAGTATTGTACACTAGAATCAACTTATAAAAATTTAACACCGAGTTGGTTAGAAACTTACCATGAAAGTCACTGATTTTTCCATAATGACCAAGTCACCCACCCCCCGTTGCTGCATAGGGGTGATTTTTGTTACAAACCTGTGTTTTTCTCTGTCCTCCTCTTCTTGGTTAGCAAATACCTTCCACTGGAAATGAGCGATGATATTGCTGTGATTATGAATGGTTATAGTTCGTTGACTGGCCAGAGACATGTAGGTTTTCTCCATGATCAAGGAATTCTTGTCCAGCCTTATATTCATATCTATAGCAGCTCCGTAGAGAGATACAAATACTGTTTCACCTAGGAATGAACAAAGTACAAACATTTTATGATTTATTTTAGAATGATACTCCTAGTCTATTTTTTTCTAGCTAGGTTGGGGATTGTAGAAGAAGCATTAGACATTTCATGGTCTCCTATTCCACCAATCCAGATAGCAGATGTGATCAGAAAACTTAAGTACTGTGCTTGGTGCATTTATAGAAAACCAAACTATCTTTCTCGATCATTTCAAGAAATTTGTAAACTATGAATTTTTGTGGTGGGTGCACCAAGATGCTTCCTTCTTCACAAACAGTTCTCAGTCTTGCAGCCTGACCATGAGGGCAGCTGGGCTCCAGCAGCATAATCATATGCCTCAGCATGAGCCCGGGCATGAGCTGGCCTTCTGGTTCTAAAGTGATTGTGCTAAGGATAGATACATACACACAAGGAAAATCCCTGTACAGCTAGCTCATACACACAAAAATGTCTTTTTTTCAAAAACAGAGAACAGGAAGGCAAAACAGGTCCTATTCATGTCTGGGGGGCTAGTACCAGTGGGAGGGGGAAGATACAAGGAAAGGGTATAGAGAGTGAATGTGGTAGAAATATTGTGTACTTATGTATGTAAATGGAAAAATGAGACCTGTTGAAACTATTCCAGGAATGGGGGGGGGGTAAAGGAGAATGATAGAAAGGGTGAATTCAACTATGATATATTCCAAGAACTTTTGTAAATGTCGTAATGTACCCTCAGTACAACAATGATATAACAATTTAAAGAGAAAAAATAATAAAGAGGAAACATCCCCCCAAAAGGAAATTGATAAATAATCTAAAAATCTGGAAGACAGTCATAGTATAGGATTTATAGGAACAATATGACTTAAAATTTAAAAAACCTCAAAGAATATACTAATAAGAGAATTTTAATTTTTATGAAAAAAATAGTGAAACATAAAATACTTCAGAAAATGTGAAAGACAGTATGAAGAAAACACATGGAAAATAAGCACAAGTGGATAAGAGGCAACATAAATGGTGTGAAGAAGCCTAAAAGTGTGTAGTCAGAAACTCAGAAGGAAAGACAAATATTTTAAGAAAAGCAAAGACAATATTTTAAGAGATGATGGCTAAGAATTTTTTAGAACTAATTAAAGACATTGACTAACAGTTCAAAAAACCCAATGAAAGTGCAATGGGATGAATTAAAAGAAATTCATACCTAAATATATTGCAATGAAACTAAACAAAACCAAAGACAAGGAGAAAACCCTGAAAGCAGTGAGAGAACAGAAATTATCTTTAAATGATCCCCAGTTGGAATTATTGACTTTTCAATTGAAACAATGAACACTAAAAAAAAAATAATAATGAATGTTATCTTCAGTTTCATGAAGGTAAAAACAATCTTCTTTCTTCTCTCTGTGCTCTGGGTATTTTCTATTGACCTATCTTCAGGTTCACTAGCCTTTTTTTCTGTTGTGTCTATTCTACTGTTAAACTTACATAATTAAATGTTAACCTCCAACATTATATTTTTTAGTATAACACTGTTATTAAAGTCAAATGAATATAAGACAAACAGGCCAACTGTACTTCTGAATGTCAATATAAAAATTGATATTTTATATCTATCAATCATAATTTATTACCACATTAAAAGAATGATACTTTATAACCAAGTGGAGTTTATTTCAGGAATGCAATGATGGCTTACTACTAGCAAATTTATTAATGTAACAATAGATCTAAGGAGACAGTGATAAGCTTTTCAAATTGATGCTAACAAAATTCAAAACACATTTTTATAAAGTCTATAAAACAGGATCTGTTTTATATGAATGAAAACACAGTAAAACATCTCAATAATTAAAACAGCATGGTGCCATTGCAGGAAAAGATAGTCAATGGAATAGAATAACAAGTCAAAACAGACAGAAGTGCATATTACATTCCGTATATTATAAGGGTAGCATAAATCAATGGTGTAAAATGAACTTCGTAAAAAAGAAAAGAATTGCTAAAACAACCTTGTAGCCCATATGGAAAAACATGCCTCAGATCTTACATTAGAATGAACGTTAACAAGACATTTAAAGAAGAACTAATACCAACCCTCCTTAAACTGTTCCATGAAATAGAAAGGCAAGGAACATTGCCTAACTCATTTTATGAAGCCAGTATTACTCTCATCCCAAAATCAGACAAAGACACCTCCAAAAAGGAGAACTATAGGCCAATTTCCTTAATGAACATCGATGCAAAAATCCTCAAAATAATGGCAAACCAAATCCAACAACATATCAGAAATATCATTCACCACAACAAAGTTGGCTTCATCCCAGGGACGCAGGGGTGGTTCAACATATGGAAATCTATAAATGTAATACAGTAGTACATTAATAGAAGCAAAGACAAAAACCACTTGATCATCTCAATAGATGCAGAAAAAGCCTTCGACAAGATCCAACACCACTTCGTGATAAAAGCTCTAAGAAAACTAGGAACAGAAGGAAAGTTCCTCAACACTGTAAAGGCTATATATGACAAACCTACAGCCAATATCATACTTAACAGTGAAAAACTGAAACCATTTCCCCTAAAATCAGGAATGAGACAAAGGTGCCCACTATCCCCACTCCTATTCAACATAGTACTGGAATTCCTAGCCAGAGCAATTAGGCAAGAAGAAGAAATAAAAGGAATACAAATAGGTAAAGAAACTGTCAAAATATCCCTATTTGCAGACGATATGATCCTATACCTTAAAGACCCAAAAAACTCTACCCCAAAACTGCTAGATACCATAAACAGCTATAACAAGGTGGCAGATACAAAATCAACTTACAAAAATCATTAGCTTTTCTATACACCAACAACGAACAAACTGAAAAGGAATATAAGAAAACAATTCCATTTACAGTAGCCTCAAAAAAAAAATCAAATACCTAGGAGTAAAGTTAACAAAGGATGTGAATGACCTCTACAAGGAGAATTACAAACTCCTGAAGAAAGAGATGGAGGAAGACTACAGAAGATGGAAAGATCTCCCGTGATCATGGATTGGTAGAATCAACATAGTAAAAATGTCTATACTCCCAAAAGCAATCTACATGTTTAATGCAATTTCCATCAAAATCCCAATGATTTTCATCACAGAGATTGAAAAATCTACCCTAAAGTTCATTTGGAAACACAAGAGACCATGAATAGCCAAGGCAATACTCAGCAAAAAAGAGCAATGCTGGAGGTATCACAATATCCATCTTCAAACTATATTACAAAGCAATAGCAATAAAAACAGCATGATACTGGCACAAAAACAGACATAAAGACCAGTGGAACAGAATAGAGGACCCAGATATGAATCCACACAACTATACCCATCTTATTTTTGACAAAGGTGCCAAAAATATATGATGGAGAAAAGACAGCCTCTTCAACAAATGTTGCTGGGAAAAATGGTTATCCATCTGCAAGAAACTGAATCTAGATCCAGGTCTATCACCCTGTACCAGTATCCACTTAAAATGGATCAAGGACCTTAATATCAGACCCGAAACTCTGAAGTTAGTACAGAAAGGAGCAGGAAACACTCTGGAAGTAATAAGTATAGGCAAAGACTTCTTCAATAGAACCCCAGCAGCTCAGCAACTAAGAGAAGGAATGGACAAATGGAACTTCATAAAATTAAAAAGCTTCTGCACAACAAAGGAAATGGTCTCTAAACTGAAGAGACCACCCACAGAGTGGGAGAAAATATTTGCCAGCTATACATCAGACAAAGGACTGATAACCAGAATCCAAGGAACTTGAGAAACTAAACTCTCCCAAAATCAATGAACCAATACAGAAAAGGGCAACCGAACTAAACAGAACTTTCTCAAAAGAAGAAATTCAAATGGCCAAAAAAACACATGAAAAAATGCTCACCATCTCTAGCCATAAAGGAAATGCAAATCAAAACCACACTAAGATTCCACCTCACCCCTGTTAGAATAGCCATCATCAAAAACACCAACAAGAGGTGTTGGCGAGGATGTGGGGATAAAGGAACCCTCATACACTGCTGGTGGGAATGCAAGCTAGTGAAACCACTCTGGAAAACAATATGGAGGCTTCTTAAAAATCTAAACATAGATCTGCCATATGATCCAGCAATCCCATTCCTAGGGATATACCCAAAGGAATGCGACTCAGGTTACTCCAAAGGCACTTGCACACCCATGTTTATTGCAGCGCTGTTCACAATAGCCAAGTTATGTAAACAACCAAGATGCCCCACTACTGACGAGTGGATTAAGAAAATGTGGTACTTGTACACAGTGGTATTTTACTCAGCCATGAAGAAAAATGAAATCTTATTCGCAAGTAAATGGATGGAACTGGAGAACATCATTCTGAGCGAGGTTAGCCAGGCTCAGAAGAACAAAAATCTTATGTTCTCCTTCATATGCGGACTGTTTATCTTGGGCAAATACAGCAATGTTGTTGGACTTGAGTCACATGACAAGAGGAGAGCACATACGGGAGGTATGGGGATAGATAGGAAACCCAAAACATGAAAGCATTTGATATTCCCACTCCAGAGGAACTAATACAGAAACCTTAAAGTGACAGAGGTCAACATGAGAAGGGGATCAGGAGCCAGTGTAAAGATCAGTTAGAGATGAATCAACTTGGGTTGTAACACATTTGTACATGGAAGCAATGCTGGGAATCTCTGTATAGTTATCCATAACTCAACTAGCAAAAACGCTTTGCTTTCTTATTATGCTTATGTCTTTTCTTCAACAAAATTAGAGATAAGGGCAGAACAGATCCTGCCTGAAAGCGAGGGGGTGGGGAGAGGGTGGGGGCAGAGGGGAGGGGGGAGAAATGACCTAAACAATGTATGTACATGTGAATAAATGAATAAGAAAAATGCATGTCAAACTAATATTTAGATATTTAAATGTTCATCTGAAGCCATGAAAGTACAATGCACAAGAGAATGTCTTTATAACTTCAAACTATGACCCCAAAATCCAAACCCC